GGAATGGTCGTACATTGGTTATCCTTGTTCGTGAAATGGTTTAATATGATATAATCGGCCGTCGCAGGTTCACTATGCCTGTCTGGGAGGATCCGCCATGGGGCTGTTTCTATGCAGTTATGGACTTTCCAAACGAACCCATACTGGTAAGTTCACAGTTGTCACTTCGAACATTGAATCAACATTACTCCAACTTCAAACACACACACACACACACACACAAATTTTCATTTTCTAGCTACTTGTTGAAATTGGTTTTAAAAGTGCCTTAATTATTGTTCTGAAAACTGTAAATATAAACTATTTAATTATTGTTTTGGAACGCACACATTGAGGGACAGTTTACAGAGATACACAGAGCAGTGCTAATGTTGAAGGGGGAAAAATACTCGATGTCTATTGACCGAAGTCACGGTAAGAGGCGCCTTAAAGATGGCGATATGCGCCAATTCTTTCAAAACAATGACATTGTGGAGGACTCGGAGTGGGTGTTTACCCTCATTGCGTACCGGTATCCCCGGTTTAGAGTGGTCGAAATTTGTGTGTAGAATGTACTGAACGACGAATTAAGAAACACTATTTTCAGATGCGTGTTGGTCTTTGAAGGTGCCTTATTTTGGACATTTTGTGTTAAACGTTTTTTGTGTTTATGAAGACCATTTTCATGCTTTCTCTGGTGTTGTGATTGGAAAATTTACGGGTATGTAAGATTTGTGTATTAATAGTTTCGTAGGTTTATTGGGACAATTTATATGGTTTATATCAAATTGTAAGGCCGACACATGAGAGGGTACAACACCGAAACAATGGAACAAACCACCAAACATACATAATATTACAAACATACATATTCTCAATGAAACAAACCACGGGTACATATTGTCGACAGGACGACTATATCTTAGGACAATCAAGAACATGCAGTTTCATACAGTTACATGACGGAAACAAAGTACAAACATAATAAAGCACCATTAAACAACCCAACAACGACAACTAACATACTGATACACCACCGAAACAAGAACAAACATAGAAGGGAAATATGTAGTGACGAAGCTAATTCCACGGCCAATCAAAAGCGCGATCCATAGGAGTGGCAGAACAAGCAGTAGATATAGAATTTTCTTCAGCTTCATGTGCAACATGGCAGGAGATGTCGTTGTTTGGCTGATTAACAGAGCCATCAGTGGAACCGGTTTGACTGTGTATGGATTGCTTCTTTTTTGGGCCCTTCGAACTGCTACCCATAAAAAAGGCAGGACGCGGTGGTTGTTTCTTAGCTCTCTGTGGGAAGTCATTTTGAACGGGGTAGGGAACTAACCTACTCGGTGGCAGACGGTTTGGAGGGTAATCTTCCACATCGATAACTTCAACACCTTTCCCACGGCCACTACTGCCCTTCTTTTTGCCTTCGTCGTCGCTGTCAGAAATGATACACCACTGCAAAGGATTTACGTACGGTGGCTCTTCGTAAAACAACTCCACGAGCTTGTTATGATGTGGATCACCTTCCGTCATGTACGCCAGGGAAAAATCATCCCACTACAGGAAAAAATGAATAAAATTTAGTTTGCAACACTAGTTTTGGTGTAAGAAATGGAAATGCAATTATTTTCGACAAAACTCACCCTTAGCATTTCATCCCAAGTGTTGCCCGAAGCATTGTACTTGTTCAGGCCGACATCGTATTGAACACCAGCCTTGTCTTTCAGAGCGGTGAAAACATCATGGCACTTCTCCAAAACTCCAACTCGTGTTCCGATGTACTCCATCGTGAAACTCCTGCCAAACCACGCATTGAATGCTCGCGTAGCACCAAGTATGGACTCAGTATTATCGCCATTAGGAACAAATATACCACATAGTTTATCTTCAAGTAAGTAGTCGATAAGAAAGTCATCAAACTTCGGTGTCCAATTTAGGTCGTACAGATAATATGCCTGCACTAAACCCAAATTAGGAGCCATTGCAATTTTGTGAAGTATAAAATTTGTATGTTTTAATAAAAGTTCAATAATATTTCATTACTTCTTTCTACGGTTGATGAATACATGGTCTCAACTATGGGGTTTAAATAGCAAAATTTTCGTGCCCTAAGATGAATAATGTATTCATGTAAGTGATGTCTATTCAAGTCAGCTTTGCGTACTTAGCTCATAGCTACATGTAGACCTGTAGTGACTTGTCATAATCTGTCCCTTCAAATCCGATTTTTTTAAACAAAAAGATGACGAAACAATGTCTTTGATGGTCTCTAAAGTGATTCCTACAGTACCAATATTGCAAATAAATTTAATGCCACATGACCAATAATGCAAGTAATTTAGTAGATGATAAGGACCTATCAGCTCAACTTCGAAAAAAAAGCAAAAACGGAGCCATAGAACTGTAATATCGTAGCAGAAAAGATAAACAATGGTGTTCACGTGGATTGTATCTTTGTAGCAGATGTTATTATAGCATGTCATTTTTACTGTGAATGGTCATAAGAAGTCCTTTACGCATGCTATTCAACATAACAGTATTATATTAATGTATATGTTCATATAAATTAAATAGTTGTCACTTTTACGCATAGATTCTACAGCAATTTTTTTTTTTTTTTCCAATTTTGCAAGATGTAATATATCTTCTTTAGCGTGCCAAATTAGATATGCATCAATCTCACTGATAGGGATGACATTTTTTTTTTGGCATCCCATACTTGTACACATTAAAGGTGAACATGCTCGTGTAGTCCTTTATTAGTCAAATCAACTCAGCTTTAAAGAAAAGCAAGCTTCAGAATACCTATAGACCTGCCACAATGACCTGTCATAGCACGTCACATGAAAACACATAATTGGCATAGAAATCATAGTGCATTGTTTACCCAACTAATGCTTCAATTTAATGAACATCTGTCAGAATGATACAACGTAGCTGTCTAAATAACAAATTATGTCTTACAAAAGTAAAATAGAATACATATCAACGTCATCATGTTTAATGCTAATAAAGCCTACTTAAAGAAACAAAAGAGTAAAACAACAAAAACGATTCCCCAAAAGGTACATTTCTTCATGAATGTGACCTTCTTCCTCAACTCTTGAGCTTCACGTACAACTTGATCAAGCCGGGACTGTAGTTCAACTTTTTCGGTAGCTGCAATCTCCAAATCAGTCATCATCCGAATCTTCGCATCTTCCTCTGCTTTGATCTCGGTGGCTTTTAAGTCCAACCTCTCCGTTAGCAATTTTTCCATCACATTTTTGCACATTAGCTGCTCTTGCAACCTATCCTTTTCAGCCTTGAGCCTGTTGAAACAACCCTTTTGGAACGGCGGCAACTCGGGGTCAACCCACTCAAAAAGGCGACAAGGAGGATCGGGCTGTGAAGGTCGAAATTAAATCCGAGTATAAAACTTCATGTACAGATATAAAACAGAATACATTAAACCATTCATTAAACCATATATCAAACTTTATAAACCATACATAAAAAACTGTAATGTGCAGATATAAACCATACACTAAACCATACATTAAATTTCATTGAACACATTAAACCATACCTTAAAATTCATGTACATATATAAACCATTGAACTTTAAAAATTTTACCTTCCGGCGAGGACATGTTAAGAACCTTCGGGCTGGGTTTTCAGGTGTCATTGATGTCAACACATCGGCTTCTTCATCGTGGTCACACAGCCTAACAACAAACGGGGTAGAGCCCCTGTTATATCGATTGGTTGAACTCGTCCGAGAAGTATTTGACATGTTGCTTGCCTGAAGAGAAGAATAAGATAATAAGGTAATACTGATCAAGGCGCAACTATTCCACATGTTAACAAACATTGGTTGGTACAGATTGGAGAACAAACTGCCAACAAACTCAACATGGAAGCTAATCAAACTACCCCTTTTGTAAGAACTAATAGATAGTTCATGTTTTACACTCAAATCCACATTCTTGATCAAAATAAACCCACATTCCAGATTACAAATAACCCCCTCAAGCAAAAACCAAACAGAAATCGACAACATGACTATCATTTGAAGTATCCTAAACTTCATTTCAATCCCATTTCATGTGATAAACATATTCAGCAACAACAACAACAAAATCAACGCGAAAAGAATACAACAAATACAGGGCTCATAACATTTCCTCCCGCAACGTGTTGCACAGTTACTAATAACCAAGGCAGATAAGGCCGTAAGCTAACTTAAAACATGCTCCAAACAGATTACAAATGGGAAGCAGACTGATCAAAATCAGCAAACGCAAGTGAAATGGACAGAACCAGTACAATTCAAACAATTGAAGACATAAACAATCCAGTTCAATCAGAAACAATGGAACAGCACCCAAGATCATTTTTTTCCACCACAAAACACACTCAAAATAACTACGAACGCGAATTCAGATGCTTCCAATTCAAAATGAGAACCGCAAGAAGAAATGAAAACAAATTCAGGTACCCATCACTTTTTTAGATCCACCCACAGGTTCTACAACATAATACAACCCTCAGTTGAAATAGTAGGTGGAAAAGGAAGAACACAGGCCTAGTCGACATACAACACAGCATCAGTTGAAGAAAATTTAGAGGAATAAAGTTGACGCATTGAAATTCGAGGAATTAGGGCAGCTGAAGAAAATATCCAAGATAGCGTCAGTTCAAGAGAAGATCCAAGAGGTCGAAGTCATAGCTGATATAATTGGTAAAAATATCGAACAAAAAATGAAAGGAAAATCTTCGTCAATTGAACGGAAAAAACCGTAGGAAAAAATGAACGGAAATATTACCGGAAGATATTCATAGTACCTGGGAGAGTATTCGCCGGTCGTCGGCGTATAATTTGTGTGGTGTCAGATGGACGTCGTCAACCCTCGAAGTAAAGCAACCGCGGGTACTCGTCGGGAGTGATGTCGCCTCTCGCCTCTCGTCGAATTAGGGCAAACCGAGTAACAATTGGATGTCGAGGAAGAAGGTAATCGCAGGGCTATCAGATGGATGTCGTCAACCCTCGAAGTGAAGCAACCGCAGGTACTCGTCGGGAGTGATGTCGCAGCTCGCCTATCGTCGAATTAGGGCAAACCGATGTCTAACAGGTCTTTTGTCGAGGAAGAAGGGATTTCCAGGGGTAGAGTAGTCTTTGGTGGGTTTATGACTTTGATTAATCCATCAAAGTAAATAAGGGATACTTTAGACAAAATCCATCCCCAAAAGTAAACGTGGGATTAAATGATGACGTGGAAAGTGGTGGGGATTAATTTGTGTTATCCCATCCCTTGAAGTAAACGACGCCTTAGCAAACAGTTATATATATATAGAGAGAGAGAGAGAATGGATCATGTGGGAAAGATGGATAGTGAAAGAAATAAGAATAATTCTAGACCATTAGATCCATCAAACCAATGAACATGATCAAGTCAAAATTTATTAACGCTAGCCAAACATGTTGTGGCAATCTTGTAATTAATTAAGTGATCATATTGTGGTCACATTAATATATGGATTGAACCACTTATTAAGGGCATTTTGGTCAATTACAATCACATAGTGGACCCCACCCCAACCGTAACCATAATAACTCTTTCTCTCTCACACACCTCACACTCACGCATTAACTCACGCTGCACACACACACACACACAGTCACCACCACTCACCTACCACCGCCGGAATCCACCCGCCTCCGCCACCACAACTACCGGCTCGTCCTATGCCACCTGACTCCAACCGCAGTTGGCCTCCGACCGCAGCCAGTCTCCGCTGGCAACCGGCCTCCGACCGTAGCCAGTCTTCATCCGAAGCCAGCCTCAGACCGCAGTCTGCCTCCGCCCTTCGCCGTCAACACAGCGCCCAGCCCGCGCGCCATGGAAGTTGCTTCATACGACGGCGACCTCCCCCGACTGTACTGTGGTGGAGCAGGCCGACATCTGTGGCAGCGCCGCCGTCTCACTCGACTTCGATGTCGACCAGAACCATCACGGCGGGTAGCCGCCAGACCGACGTGGCCTGGCAACTAACAAACATTGGCTTCCTCGGAGAAAACGAAACGCATCGGAGCTCTGAGAGACGTTGTCGCATCACCGGCGGCGAGAAGGGCTGCAGGGGATTGAGATGTTCAATTTAAGGGTTTATTTTTTGAAAATTTGACAAGTTTGAGGGACTTTTTTGCAATATTAACAATTTTAATATATTACAATTTAGGTCATGGGTCCAATTTGTAAATAATCAAACTATAATTAATATTTTAATATTTTCATTTAATATTTTATATTTTATATCTTTAGGGCTGAAAATTATAAAAATAAAAATAGTAATAAATAAAGTGCAGCGTGTCGATATAAAGTGCACTAACTTATATGATCACATGCAGATTATGTTTTTTTTTTAAACTTGATTTATATATAATTGTGCATTTTTATTATTGACCGCGCGTCGCTATGCGGAAAATTTAAATTTATAATTTTTTCCTTAACAATTCTCTACTAACTAGTAGTAGTGGCAAGTAAGGGTCGATCACACGATGAGTAGGAATTAAATTATGACAATCTCGTGTCAATTGAATTAAACTACGAAAGCAACTAGGGGGATTGATTTATTAAACTAAAAATGAAAATAAATAAAATAAAAATTAAATAAATTAAGAGAAGTCCAATTTCGGTTAAGTTATCACTCAATCCAAATCTATAGCTAATTAATTCCGACTCCTTCTTTAAGTTACTAATGAATTACCAACCCTAGCTAACAACAAACTCTGTTTACCGAATTTTCCCTTACTGAATATTTAATCGAAATAAGTTGTTCCATTAAATCTAACTAATGAACAACCTAGAATAAGCTCTCTAGATTTACTTCACTAGCAATATTAATTTCTAAGAAAATAGATCAGTCTAAGCAATGGACGGGAAAGTTCGGACCTTTTAACTTATGTTCATGTTACCCTAGAGATGCACGACCCCTAGTTTACTACTAACGAAACGAGAACAATAACAATCACGGATTAAAGTCTTGTTTCTACCAATTAAACTATGAATATTTAACGTAACTGGCCAAATTAAATCAAACACCCATATTCATAAACATTATACACAGATAACATGAATCAACTAATCAACAAAATAAATATGGGCGTCTCAATTAATCAACGATAAATATAAATCCTTCAATCCATAAACAAATGAAGTTAGAGTTCAAATATTCTCTAAAACTGGATAAAATTCCTAATCTAACATATTAATAAAAATAAATACTAGATAAAAGATAGAGAATAAATATCGTCCTCGTGTGCGGATACGGCTTCCTGCGTGTAATGCTCTCCGTCTACTGCTCTCTAC